ATGGTTTTCTCCATCAAGGTGTATCGTGTTTCGGGGCCGTTCAGGGCCTTGCTGATAAAATAGATCGGTCACTCAACCCCATCGATTTCTTTCAACAGTACCGAACTGACAACAAGATCAGCCGCTGCGAGATACATATACAAATGCTCCCCTGGATCAACCTTGGTCAGAACCAGGGGGAAGACAGGTAGGTTTTGAAATCTTCAAAGGCCGTTTGACACTCTGTTGTCCACTCGAACGGGTTGGCCTTTTTCATGATCTGGAAAAATGGGATTGCCCTATTGGCTAATTTGGAAAGGAACCCTTTTAATGCGGCTAGCCGACCAGTCAACCTCTGAACCTCCTTCAGGTTCCTAGGTGCTTCCATGTCCATGATTGCCTTGATTTTTTCAAGATCAGGTTCAATCCCCCATTCGCTCATCATGTATCCCAAGAATTTGCCCCCCCCCCCCCCCCCCTTAACCGCAAAGGCACACTTCTTGGGATTCAGTCTCATGTTCACCTTCCTCATGATTCCGAAGACTTTTTCCATATCCCGAACATGATCCTCCTTCCTCCTGCTTTTGATCAGGATGTCATCCACATAAGATTCCATGGTGACCCCCAACACTTCTTTGAAAAACATCCCGATCATTTTATGGAATGTGGCCATAGCATTCTTCAACCCGAACGACATGACAATGTAGCAAAATTACCCGTCTGAGGTGACGAACGCTATTGTTTCAGCATCAGCCGAGTGCATAAAGATCTGGTGATACCCTCAGAAGGCATCCATAAAGCTCAATAGTTCACACCCGGCGGTCTCATCTACCAGCAAATCGATCCGAGGCACAGGATAAGGATCCATGGGGCATGCCTTGTTCAGATCGGAATAGTCAACGCACATCCTCCAAGTTGGCCCCTTTGGGGCGAGGACTACATTAGTCAACCACTCCACGTGGATTACCGGCCTAATGTACTTGATTTTGAGTAGTGTGGCCACCTCCTGTTTGGTAAAATCTCATCGTTCGGCTGCGTGGTAGCGTTCCTTCTGCTGGACTGGTTTAACGTCCGGCCGAACGGCTAACTCATGACAAATAATTTTCGGGCCTATGCCCGACATATATTCTGGTCCTCTAGAAAACAAGACTTGGAACTCCATGAGTACTGCAATCACCCCTTCCCGAATCTCAGGGGCCAAATCCACCTGAATTGCAACCTGCCGATCGGGGGGTGAATCAAGCTCAACATATTCCAGCAAGGTGGCTGGCTCAGGGCGTGCGATAAATTCCATCCGGCAGGTTTCCTCCGCAATGCTATTCACCCACAGGTCCCGATCATTTATCTCCTTCATTGCTTCCCTGTAACAGCTTCGGGCTGTGGCCGGATCTGTTCGGGCTACTCCAACCCCAGTGTCAGTTGGGAACTTTATGCAGGAGTGCCAAACGGAAGCAATTGTTTCCAAGTCTTCTAATCCGGGTCGGCCAAATATGGCATTGTGGGCGCATTGAATGTCCACCACTACAAATGTCATACGGACTGCCGCCCGGTGTCCCTCATCTCCAATTTCGACCAGAAGGGAGATGGTCCCTTCCGTATCGATACAATTTCCCGTGAAGCTTGCCAACGACATTTTCAGGGATGTCAACTGCAGGTCCCTCCCCATTTTCATCCTCTCCAACGTCCGCAAATACAGGACGTTCACGCTACTCCCTGTATCCACCAAGACTAGGCGGATAAGGGCATTATAAACACACATACTCAGCACCAGCTCGTCCTTGTGCGGACTTGGTGATGCATAAAGATCCACAGGACCGAATGTGATTGGTTCGATCCTTATCTTCTTCAAAGGCGGGTCGGAGACGAAAGCCACAAGTAAGCTATGCTCGAACTTCTTCCGTTCAGCAGCCGTGTCCCCAGTTTCTCCCCCACCAAAGATGACCTTGATTTCCATTCTGGGCTTCTTCCCTAGATTTCTTGAACCTTCGGCCTCCTCTTTAGGCAGTATATATACATCATTCCGCGGTTGGGCATCTCGCTGATCGTCCCTCTTCTAGCTTTTGGATTTTTTGAGGGGTCCTGTGTCATTTGGATTCCGGTTCACATATTTCCCCAAGTGGCCGTGCTGGATCAATTCCTCGATGGTTACCTGAAGCGCTTGGCAAGTATGGGTGGCATGCCTCTTCCTCTTGTGGTATTGACAATAAGCATCCTCGTTCCCTATATGGTCCCTTGTATCTGTAGGGGGAGGGATGAAGTTCTTCTCATGGTGAAAGACGGATGCAATGGAAAGGACGAGCGGGGTGAAGCGCTTTGTTTTGGTAGGGGGTGCGGCCGCTGGGACAGGACCCAGCCGATCGGCCAATTTTGCTGGTGCAGAAGGTGTAGCCACCTTATCCCTAATCATAATTTCTTCCTCAAGGGCGGCATGCTTCTGGGCCCTAGCCAGCACTTCGGTATATGCCGTCCGTGGGTTCTTCTTCAGGTCCCTATAAAGTTCCCCAGTCTATAGGGCATCAGTGAAGAGGGTGATTAATGTGTCCTCCGTCATGCTTCCGACCTTCAGGGTTTCGTCTCTCCATCTTTTCAAAAACTGATTGATGGATTCTCTTGGCCCCTGCTTGACACTAGTTAGGTATCTGAAGTGTCGTTTAGGAGTGGCACTAGAAGCAAATTGTGCCGAGAACAAAGATGACAATTTGGCGAAACTGCCGATCGACCAGGTTGCAGGGTCCTGAACCACTCCTGGGCGGGCCCCCTGAGCGTGCTAAAAAATAGCCTGCAAATGGCTGCATCTGTCGCTCCCAACAACATGAGCCCTCCTTGATAACTTCTCAAATGTATATGAAGATCTCCCACCCCATCATACGTCTGACCGGTCGGCGGTCTGGCATCCCTATGGATTTCCGCATTCATGATCGCTCTGGTGAAGGGGGAAGTGATCCCAACCTGTTCCGGGGTGGGTTGCAGGGGTGTTCTGTTCACATGCTCTCTCAATTTAGTCATCTGCCTCCTCATTTCGGTCATTTCCTCCTCATGAGCCGTATGGGGAGGTGATGGTAGAGTTCCCAGATCCACCAACTCCGGGGTTCTTTCTGGTGGGGGTCCATTCCGGTTCTGACGTCTTCGTAAGATCCGGGTACCATCACATTCTTCGTACTAGAAATGGGGACCAACTGGCGTGGCTCATCTCGCTTGGGACCCGACCGGGGTGTGGTCACTATGAGTGTGCTGCCTGTCCCTAGTCTCGTGAGCCCTTCGGTGATCTCCCCGATGAGCCCGTGCATGGACCGAGGCCCTGGTCATTTCCGTATCAGCAGTGCTATCATTAAATGCAATTTGTGTTGTGTAACTGGATTGCCCCCATCCTACGCATCTGCCATTTGCTGCATCACCCTCGCTAGGTCGCGCATGGCATGAGGATTTATTCTGAGTGCTTCAGGGATAAAGAAGTCTCTGTCGAATTGTTGGTAGGACGCATCGTTGGAGCGTCCCTGGGTGGTCCTACTGTCCTCGCGTCTTCCCGAGCTTCCACCAGTATAATGAGAAGTGATTCTGACCATTTTGCAGGTAGTTTTTTTTTTGCTTAAATCAGTGTTTTGCTTTGGAAACTTTTAGTAAACGTTTTCCACAGACGGCACCAATCTTGAGGTTAAGTACCGAATGACCCAAAGGCCCAACACCAACCTTGGATCTAGGGTAAAGGTTCTACATTAATGTGTATAAAAGAAATATAAAAACTGATAGATTCACTCAAATAGTCTTGCTTGTATTAACACAGTAATAGTGATTACACGGAAATGGCTGAACGGTAGTTACAGCCCAGAGGCTAATACAAGAGCTAGAATGCAATATAAGCTTGAGAGTAAACAAATGCTAACCCTTACAATGAATTAAATGCTGCTATTTATACTAGATGGGGGTATGGGGTGCTCTAATATGATTGGTTGTCTCCCATGCCACTTGACGTCCGCATGATCCAACATTAACTGCAGTCGGTTACTCGAGCAATGTTTGTTCGGGATTAAGTCCAGCTAAGCCATCAATCAGGAATAAGCTAATTACCCAAGTAGTAATTATATCCCGTTCGGGATGTGCCGAACGAGGCCTGCCGTTCGAGTCTGATGATTCTCCTTGGGCCTTTCCTTGCGCCTAGGCTTCAGGGATATTTTGGGCCGCCGTATAGGGCTGGACCTTAATATCCCATTAGGACTAAAGAAAAATGGGCAAACCAGATAGGGCGCCTTCCAACTCTGAATTGGTAGTACAAAAGGGTTTTGGTTGTTGATTGACAACGGCGGCTATGTAATTACATACGCCAGCGATGAAGGTGGCAATGGATACCAGAGCTGAGCCTCAAGATCTCCGCCTTAGAGGTGGGGAAAAACGCCGATGAATTTTTTAAACGATGGATTTGGAAATCCGAGAGTTAGGGGGGAGATTGTGTTGGATTGAGTTGTTCTATTATTTGGCATAGAAATCCATTAAAATCTTTTAAAATCCATGAAAGTAGATAATTAGTGAAATACGTAAAATGTTTGAGGATACCTGGATTTTTTAAGACTCCATTAAAATCCAAATTGAAAACACCTGGATTTGGATGAAATTTTAAACTCCAGTAAAATATTTTAAAATCCGTGTTCTTGACGGATCGAGGGTCTATGCCTTACTTAAGCAGCCAAGGAGGGTGCCTGGCTGTTTAACTCTGTCAGATCGGAAATTTGACGGCCGAAGATCTTGGGTTCCAACCCGGAGCCCTTTGCAGATCTCGAGATCCTGCTCGTTGCTTCGCTGCCGTCGGATGCTGCAAGGCACCCTGCCTTATGGGAGACGATCTTGATCCGTTCTTGACACTCATAAATTTGAATGAATGAATGAATCCGGATAGATTGTGGAGCCCGAGATGCGGGCGGCATCGTTGACAGGGTAAACTTTGTTCCCTGGTAACTTCACTAAAAAGCTGTGCCAGTTTAACGGCTATTATTGACGCCGTTATATATAATCAATCCCGAGTAGTTATCACACTTCACTGCTCCTCCGACTCACTCCCCAATTCACAGCCTCGCCGCACTTTCCTTTTGCTGCAACTGAGTATTCGAAGTCGACATTAATGGCGGCCGAAGCTTTACATCCTTATCGTCTCGGATTTCCGCTCACAATTTTCTTATCTGGTATCCTTAAGTTGGTTGAATTCCTTTGGTTTTTAATACAGGATTTTTAATTTGTTGTGTGTGGTTGCAATCATGACGCCAGATTTGTTTCCATTCTTTTCTTTTTGTAGTTTCATGGATTTTAATTTTACCGCAAGCTTCGGCGAGCTCGATTGGAATCAACTACGGCCAGGTGGCTAACAACCTTCCTCCGCCGGAAAAAGTGGTGCCGCTAGTGAAAGCCGTCGGAGCCAGCAGGTTGAAGCTCTATGACGCGGACCCTAAAGTGCTCAAAGCTTTCGCCAACACTAACGTGGAGTTCATTGTGAGCATTCCAAATGAGGACTTGTCTAGAATGAAAGATCCAGCCAAGGCTCAGGATTGGGTTAAGCAGAACGTGGAGGCGTATCTTCCGGCAACCAGAATCACCTGCATCGCCGTCGGAAACGAAGTGCTCACACTAAACGACACCAATCTCTCCGGCAACCTCCTCCCGGCGATGCAGAGCATCCACACCGCCCTGGTGAACCTCGACCTGGACCGCAAAGTCCGAGTCACCACCGCACATTCACTCGCCGTGCTCGCGACTTCGTATCCGCCGTCCGCCGGGGCGTTCCGGCGAGATCTGATAACTTACGTCTGTCAGATCCTGGATTTCCATGTCAAAACCGGGTCACCTTTTCTGATCAACGCGTATCCGTATTTCGCGTACAAGGCGAATCCGAAGCAGGTTTCGCTCGATTTCGTGCTGTTCCAGCCAAACCAGGGGATTGTTGACCCCGTCTCCCATCTCCACTACGATAACATGCTGTTCGCTCAGATCGACGCGGTCCACTCGGCTCTGGGGACGCTAGGGTATAAGAACGTGTGCGTCCAGATCTCGGAGACAGGGTGGCCGTCCAATGGCGACGCCGACGAGGCGGGAGCGACGCCGCAGAACGCGAGGAAGTACAACTGCAACCTCATGAATCTGATGACTCAGAAGAAGGGGACTCCGATGAGGCCGAACGACGACCTGAACATCTACGTTTTCGCGATGTTCAACGAGAACATGAAGCCCGGCCCGGCTTCGGAGCGCAACTACGGGCTGTTCAAGCCCGACGGAACCCCCGCCTACTTTCTCGGAATCACAATCAGTTCAAACACTTCTACCAGTTCGACTCCTCCCGTAAAAACCCCTCCTGCTATTACGCCGCCGTCACTGTCAGCTCCGCCGGGGACCTCCGATTCGGGATACCTGTCCATTTCTTCAGATTCGGTTCGTCATTTAACCTTTAATGCTTCTTCTTCACATATTATAAGTTGTTATTAATTGAAACGATTAAATTTTGCAGGCGAGATGTACAGGAATCGAGTTGATTTTGCAGATAGGAGGATGGATTATTTTTGGAGATCTGTTGATGAGGACATAGCTTAGCAAGGCCATGTGGAAAAGGTGACAATGGCCGGACGGGAGTTCAGCTTTTGGAACTCTGGTCGGTGGGTTTGCCTCTTTTGGAATCAATCAGTTGTCGACAGCGGATTTTCTCCATTATTAGACTGTCCCTCCTCTCATAAGCTTCTTCTTCCTCAGGGCTGTTGTACCATTATTATTAGGTGTTGAGAGGAGGAGTGTATTATTTTTTGAGATTATTGTTATTACTGCCTCCATAACACTCAATTTTTGTCTACTCATATGGTCAATAAGAGTCATTTTTATTCCCAAATTGTGACTGTTGGCTTTTTATCAAATTCAAATTAAAGTTTTGCACCGGGCTTCTGAATATTTTAATAATTTAGACGGGTATAAGAAGTATAAAATGGATATTTTACCATTTAAACTAATGAACAAAATTATAATTTGATGGATTCATTTTTATTTTGAACTCTGATGGTTTGGATATTTATATTTAGTATTTACACGCTGTTGGTAGAAAATAGAGAAGAGATATTGCAATTTGCAAAAGCTTGCAAGGGATATATAGAATTTTTTACTTACCTTGTTGCTCTTGTGCAAAAATAGTGTTCACATGTTTCCTAGATGCTTCGATGTTTGAATACCTTGTTGCTCTTACCATGTTGGATGTTTGATGCTTGAATTTTTACTTTTCAATAAAGTGATTCAAAAGTAAAAATTGCTATTAAGATATAAGAAGAATAAAGTGAAATGATAAGAATCAGGTCAAACAAATGAACGGGTAAAAATACAGACATAACGTATTTTTAAAATACGTTATGTCTGTACAGAAAAAAAAAAAATCTTACACAAGCATATGTAAAAAGTGTGTACACAAAAAAGTGTGTACCTTTAGAATTTTTCATTCTTCAATGTGCTAGATGACTTGCATTCTTCTTTTGGTATGGTCATGATTTTTGAACTTTTTATTTGGCCATCTCTATTAGATGTTTCAGTTTTAGTTATAAAAGTAATATTTACCCTCATACTATTAATATTTTTTATGCTATTTACATAGCATTTAAAAGTGTAATTTTTTTGGTATGCAACCATTGTTATACATAGTACTCCCTCCGTCCCGTTACAAGGTTTCCACTTTCCTTTTTTGGATGTCCCGTTAGAAGATTCTCATTTCCATTTTAGGATGCAATTAACAATCTTAAGTTACAAATTAGTCATTAAATATTACAAATAATACATTTACAACATCACAGTTATCAATACTAACACATTATAATATATACCGTGTCGTTTAATTATTTCTCAAAATATACCTGAAGTACTTTATTTAATTATCACCTAAATAACCGTGTCGTTTTGTTATGGTCTCCTTCTAGCAGGACGGAGGTAGTACTACGTATTTCATAGCGGTGTTTTTTATATGATCACATAAAGTCGTTTGTTCACGTTTATTTAGGGTGTGTTTAGGAGTTGGGTTTTGGAGGGGAGTGGAAGGTTAATGGGAGCTTATGACCCTCTTTTTCATGTTCGGTAGTTTAAAAAATTGGAGGGAGTGATTTTGGAGGGTTTTTGTAACCTTTCAAAACCCTCCAAATGCTTAATTTTTAAGTTCTCCCAATTTGGAGGGTTTTGGAGGATAATTAACAAAATGGTAATTTAAGCTAAATTAAAAATGAATATCAGCTCAATGATTTGAATTCGTCATATCTGAAGGTGATTTTAATTATAATTCTTTCAAAAACCATCTTCTTACAATTTTATTACTCCCAAATACAAAGAAAAAGCTTCCTCATTCTCCTCTCTTTTTCCCCTCCAACAACATACCTCCAAAATCTCCCCCTCCCCTTCCCTTCAAACTCCCGAACATACCCTTACATTCTTTTGACACATCAATTTACTTTATTTGTAATTTACTCCGTATGTTTTATTTTGATTTCATATCAAATGTCATTTTTGACTTGATGGCTGTGATGTGTATTAATGTACTTGGGCATAGAAAGCCACAACAAGCTAACAATAAAGATTATTACTCCGTATGATGCTCATTGCTCACGGGTCATGTTTTTTTAATCATAAGTTGAATTTTGTAATTTAGAAAGATAATCATTTAATTATGTTGTTATGAAATTAATTGTGAAGTGATTGTGGTATATGATTTTTTTTATTCTAATGTGTTAATATAGGTTTGATTGCCAGTATTGATAATTAGATTTATAGACAAATATGTGTTACATATCTTTCACAGCCATTTCTAATTCCCCAATTATATATTAATTGGCGAAAAGTGCAATATTTACCAAAAAAATATTTAACTTCCTAATAAAAAATCAAATACTTCTAAATTAAATCATCTCTTGCTATATACGGTTGTAGAATCATCTCTTGGTATGAGAACTTATTTGACATTTTTCTCTATAAATAAATAATGCTCCCAAAGACTTAGAGCCATTTAATAACATTGAAATTGATGAACTAGCAATCATGTTAACAAAGTAGGAGAAATGACCCTGTCCCGCACTCATGCGTCCAAACGCCGTTCGAACACAGCCGTTTGGGGAGGTTCTCAGTGGAATTTTTTGATAAAATGTTTTGAGCATGTTCCTCATCAAGTCTAGTTTATCCATACCCAATTTCAGATCAAAACTAGATCAGGAAGGCAGTCAAATAATTTGTTGAAGTTAACTACGTTTTTCTATGTACAATTTGGCGCAGTTAACTTCAACAAATTATTTGATTGCCTTCCCGATCGAATTTTGATTTGAAATTTGGTATGGATAAACTAGACTTGATGAGAAACATGATTAAGAAACTTCATGAAAACAATCCACCAAGAACAGCCCCAAACGGTGATGTTCGGACGGCGTTCAGACAGAGAAGTGCTGGACAGGAGCACTTCTCATAAGGTAGAGACTTATATCTATCAAACATGCACAAAATATATGCGTGTGTTTTTATATTTACAACTTTCCAATCGTACGTATTAGAATATGAAAAAGTTGTTTGTACACATAAGTTGTACATATTTTGTATATACCTCGTAGTTGTCTGTGTATACATGCAACTCGTTCAGAAGATGCATGTGTACATAGACAACTAGGAGTGTGTACACCGAATGTGTATGACTTATGTGTACAAAAAGAATGATCCTTTTTTATTTGATTGTGCAAAAAGAATGATCCTTAGAATATAAGAGTAGCATTCACGTCATGCCGACCTGACAGGAACCCCATATGGCAAATTCCAGTTATTAACAAAAATAAAGTTAATGACTCAATTTTATTTATTCATTAGTATTAACTATTAATTTCAACCACTAGATCTTACTACCTCCGTCCCCCTGTTATTGTCCCATTGCGGTTTACATTGTTTGAGTGACGATAAAGCAAACAGATCCTTGTCCGCACTAGAATTATGTTTAGGAAAAAATTGCATATTCAGAAACTACATTAAATGTTTTATAAAGTCACAAAAACCAGAATCAAATTTGATAAAAATTTGATAAATAAAGTAAGAGATTAAAAATGATTTGTGTTGACCAAGTGAATAAGAAATGGGACAATAACAGAGGGCGAATGGAGTACAATTTTATTCTTTAATGCTTATGGACTTCTGGTGTAGGGAAGGTGTAACTAAAGAAGAGAAGCCTTACATTTTTTTGAGCAATGCTTTTTAACCTATAATAGTATATGTTCTATGTTAAGATCAACATCTTTGAATTGAGATAAACTAGATTCTCACCCGTGCGATACACGATACAAATTTTAATAACATAATGTAATATGGTTTTTTGAATCAATTAACAATAACATCAGAGATGAATAAATAGAATATAATTCATATTTGAGTTAAAAGTGAACAATTATATAATAAATACGGAGTAATAAATAATTATATAATTAAGAATAAAGAGAAGTAAGAGTTTTTTTATTATATCAAGAAAACATGCAAGACACCCTCTAGAAAGGTATTACAGACCTAACACTTTAAGCAACACTACAAAAAAACTCGCTCTTTGTCACGGATTTTTGTCACGGATTACGGCCGTGACAAAGTTGTCACGGGCTTTGTCACGGAATATTGGGATTTGTCACGAAAATGTTTTGTCACGGATAGGTCCGTGACAAAATCCGTGACAAAATATTGTCACAGATTTGGTCCGTGACAAATTTACTCCGGCGACCGGTTTTTTACTCCGGTGAATACTTTTTTTGCTCCCGGGCATTTGTCACGGACTGTTCCGTGACAAATCCGTGACAAATCCGTGACAAATTTCAAAAAAACTTTGTCACGGATCCATCCGTGACAAAATCCGTGACAAACCTCAATCATTGATTTTCCAGCGGTAACCTTTAATAATACGGTAATGCAATTTGAAATAGTAAAAACAACATTATGACCAACATTTTTTGTCCAATATATGAAATAGATAATTCATATGATATATATGCAATCTTAGTTTTTCAAAGATAAATGATATAGTTTTAATATATTTTTTTAAATTAAATAAATTAACAAAAGATAAATATGTCCATATATTCAAAACTATATAAATCCAACCTATTACTCGATGTTGCAAAAATCGGACTGGGAAGTGACCCAAACAAATGACCAGGTCAAGGGTCAACTGGGACCCTGAGGGTCAACCCCGTAAAGACTGGTAAACCTGGTCAAGACCGGTAAACTCGGTCAAGACCGATAAACCCGAACAACACAATATATATAAATATATAACGTATGGTTACATTTGTAAAGCAAAAAATATTTTTCTTCCTAATTAATAAACTATTACGTAGTATTATGTAGTCAGTAGCGGACATGGAATTCTCATTTTGGGGATTTAAATGCTTTTACAATTAAAATTTTAATGAACACTAAATAATTATATTAAATTTATTGGTGTATATTCTGACATTTTTAAGAGCTTTGAGTGTTCATGTGACATTTTGTATCAATAGTATGTATCATTAGAGCAGCTTTAATGTTACAATGTACACGATGCACATGTGATCTGGGAGATAACCACATAAATATGAACAAACAAATTATCTCTCTCCTTACTTGAATTATTTTATACAATTTTGGTAATTTTTTTCACAATGTCAAGAAGACTGTAGATGTTGACATTATGATTGACATTGAAGAGAAAAGCTTATCAAATTTGTATAAAATCATTTAAATAAGGAGAGAGATAAATTATTTGCTAATACTCATGTGGCCATGTAGATCATGCCACATGTGCACCATGTACATCGTAGCATTGGAGATGCTCTTAGTTTTCATATTATTGTTATTTACTAATTAATAAAGAAGGCTACTCTTAAAAGAATAATTACTTTTAAGAAGCCTTTTATTTC